GGGTGGAACATATTAACAACTACTACTAGAGTTAAAGAGTAGACTTATAGCCGGGTGGAACATATTAACAACTACTACTAGAGTTAAAGAGTAGACTCATAGCTGGGTGGAACATATTAACAACTACTACTAGAGTTAAAGAGTAGACTCATAGCTGGGTGGAACATATTAACAACTCCTACTAGAGTTAAAGAGTGCACTTACAGCCGGTTGGAACATATTAACAACTACTACTAGAGTTAAAGAGTGCACTTATAGCCGGTTGGAACATATTAACAACTTCTACTAGAGTTAAAGAGTAGACTCATAGCCGGGTGGAACATATTAACAACTACTACTAGAGTTAAAGAGTAGACTCATAGCTGGGTGGAACATATTAACAACTACTACTAGAGTTAAAGAGTAGACTCATAGCTGGGTGGAACATATTAACAACTACTACTACTACTACAGTTAAAGAGTAGACTCATAGCTGGGTGGAACATATTAACAACTACTACTACAGTTAAAAAGTAGACTCATAGCTGGGTGGAACATTAACAACTTCTACTAGAGTTAGAGTTAAAGAGTAGACTTATAGCCGGGTGGAACATTTTAACAACTACTACTAGAGTTCAAGAGTAAACTCATAGCTGGGTGGAACATATTAACAACTTCTACTAGAGTTAGAGTTAAAGAGTAGACTTATAGCTGTGTGAAACACATTAACAGCTTCTACTACAGTTAAAGAGTAGACTTATAGCTGTGTGAAACACATTAACAGCTTCTACTACAGTTAAAGAGTAGACTCATAGCTGGGTGGAACATATTAACAGCTTCTACTACAGTTAAAGAGTATACTTATAGCCGGGTGAAACACATTAACAACTTCTACTAGAGTTAAAGAGTACACTTATAACTGTGTGAAACACATTAACAGCTTCTACTACAGTTAAAGAAGAGACTTACAGCTGGGTGGAACATATTGACAGCTTCTACTACAGTTAAAAAGTAGACTTACAGCTGGGTGGAACATATTGACAGCTTCTATTGCAGCTTTTCCTGTCTGCTTGTACCCAAACACCAAGTCAATCCAGTTGTGAAGGTTTTCTGTAACATAATCTGATTCTAAAGCCTGGCGATGAACCAAGATGAAAAGACGAGGATCATTTCTACACCAAGGTGGTAAACACACATCATGAACTCTTTCACCTGTTTGTCTAACACCAAAATTAAACCCTGGTGGAAGAAACAATATAATGCTTAAACTGTTAGTAAAGCAAGTTATCCAAAACTTTTACAGAACAACACTAAAATGATCCATATAAAAAAAAACATTTTTTACTGAATGAATTATTCCAAACTTAGTTATGCACTGACAGCATAACAGAGTAATATGGACTGATATTAATTCATCTCCTTAGTATCTCTTATATTGTGTTGACCCTATAAAGGGAATGACAGTAATGTGTTCTATCATTAGCTTATCATATCTTGAGTAGTACATCTTGTCTTCTGCTGCTAAAGAAGTGAATGACACTGTAAGATTAATATGCATCGATATTAACTCTTTCAGTACAGGTTCAGTCCTTGGAACCAGCCTCGTAACCAAGTTTTAAATTATTAAGCTTATGTTAACGAAATTTGGCAGATGGTCAGTAAACATTACAATGCTTTCACATGCAAAATATCCAAGTCTTTTTATTGAGTCTTAAGGTTTAAAAAGCAATTTTTTTCTCATGCCTTTTGTTTTTTTCTTTTCACATGTTGCCTATCTATCATGCAAAGTAATTTTCATTTTAAGATTAAAAATATTTCTATGCATCAGACAATTTGTAAATTTCACATGCAAAATCTTTATAATATCCAGATAGTTATCAAACATTTATTAAGAAATAACTTTACATTTTATCTGTTATTTTCAGTAATCAATCTCTTTACGGGTTCGGTAGATTTGACCGATCTTGCAACACC